GATGGTCTTGCTGCCTTTGACTAAAATGTTTATCTGGTTCTTGGGCCTAATGGAAAGCAGCCATGAGCCTAAGCAGGCAATGCAAAAATGTTAGCGGGTGGGAAAGTGGGATAGTGGGGTGAGCCGGTGGACTGGGTTGCAAAGGGATCCAGAAAATAAAATGGTCTTGAAAGAGAACAAGTGAGGCCATGGTGGTGTGCAGGAAAAATGAGTGTTTGGGCAGCTTGGGAAAAAATCTAGGTTGCGAGTGGGCGAAGGAGACAAAGGGAATTAAAGATGCAGGTATGAGCACATGATGGGGCGGCAAAAGGCGAACACGAAGTCCAGGGCTGGTCTATGTGGGGGGTGCCCTGAAAACAAGGAGTGTGAGCATCCTCCCCCGAGGCCAGCATTGATCATCCACCTCTATTGCGGCAATGGGGCTTGGCCCTGGTGGGTTACAGAAGGAATCGAGTCGCCTCTGGGCTCTAAAACCATCACTGAGGTTTGGTTTTGGGGTTTAGAGATGGGAAATGGTGATGCAAGATTTTGAAGCAACTGGACGTGTCCTGTTGGAATGATGGGAGTGGGCAGACGCAGGTGGTGGGATAGGGCTGGGGAGTGACAGCAAAGAAAACCTATTTCTGAGTAAAACAACAAAGAATCAATAAAAAGGAGTATTGCAATATTTCGAGCCAGACCTTTCTTTGCTCAAAGACAGGCTTTTAACCCAAACAGAAGGAATTTAAAATTCCATAGGAGAAAAAGAGCATCCAGGCAGGAGGCTTGGAAGGACAAAATGTCCCCAACAATCTCCCATTCCCACCATACTTGTTCCAAATATCTGCTATTACCTTTATTACACTTTGATCAGAGAAAAAAAGTAAGGAGGAAAGTGTTGTGAATCTTTGAGCTCTTTCTTCCCTCTGTGCCTCTCTCCTCTGTACAATGAGGAGGGCATCAGGATCCACATCTCTGTTGATTTAATTCTCTGCTGCAGGGAGAAAAGAGTCTTTCTGCCTACAGAGCGCACCAGGCCTGATCTCATCCAGGACTCTAGAGGCCACTGTAATATTCATAATAGCACAGATCGAATTAAAATAAAATAGAGAGTCAAGGAGATTCATTGATAACCAATGGAGCTGAATCAATCGAACAAATTGAAACATGAGGAAATCAGAACATGTCTGGGGATATTTCACAAACATCCCAAGAATGAAAATTCTTGTGAAACTACTATTCACAAATCACTAATTACACCCCAGATCATGTGGATGATGACAAACGTGTTTATAATTTCTCTCGGCAATAGACATCCACCTGAGCAGGGCCCAGTGGGGAGGATCCTCACCCATGTACAAGACAGAACTGTACTGACCCTACAGCTGGTTCTGAGCCTCACGTATCTCCTGCAAACTCCTAGTCTTTGGGAGAGTCTTCCCTGTGTCCTTTGATCCTATTCTGAGTGGATGGCAGTTTTTCATTTTGGGTACTTTGTTGGTTTTATAGAAGGAATTGCCTTTGTAGTTGTCCTCATACAAATCTCAGGAGATGGTTTATTCCCCAGTTTGGATTATGTTTTCTAGGTGGCTTATACGTGGTCATGATTCTTCCATACGTCAGTTATTGGTTTTCTTTTTATAAAGGAGATAAATGAAGCACAGAAAAAAGACAAGATCTTAGAAGGATCTGGGGGACACCCCAGGTACAAGTTAAAATCTCCAAATCCCTGAGAAGTCATTTAAACACAAAGAAGATCTCTCTTTTGTGTCAGACAGGGATTTCTTGAGTGAAATCCCTCTTATGAGGGATTAGGCAAATCTATGCCAAATTATCATAAACAGAGCAACTCCTGACCTGGGGTGTGGGAAGTGGGAGAAGCCTTCCTGAGGGCTCTTCAGAATTCTCTTCCACAGCCCAGCAAGTTTCAGAGAGGATCTGAAAGTGGATTTGGATGCCTTTGACAGAGCCCTGTCCTTTGCTTTTTGATAGTTTTGCTGGCACCTCTTTCCACAGAGGTCCCTGAGGCTTGCACAAGCGGTGTTGCATGCACTGGGGTAGCTGAGCCATTGCAGTCCACCACACAGTCTGTGGGTTGGGCATTTAGGCTGTCCCAGGGCTGGGCAACCCACTCTGAGCTGTGCTTGGGGTGGGAACTGTGTGTTCTGTAATGCACATTGGCATCAGCCCCTGCACATGCACGAGGAAGAGGTTGGCATGGAAGGCTTGCTGCAGTGTCAGGGCAGAGCATGTCAGCAGCCCCCACGTCCTGTAGAACCTCCATCCCAGGAAGGTTCACCCTGTACCTGTTCTGCTTTTCATTATCCAGATCATGCTGCAGGAGAAATTTCCACAGTTAATATTGCGAAGCAGCTGATTCTGCGATGTGTCACATCCTGCAACTGGGCTGGCCAGGACACCAGGAGATGGAGACGATGGAGGCTCTTGCCTGGGCTGGATGAAGTGCGAGGAACCACCTGGAACATGATGCTGTGAGTCACTGACTCAGATCCCTGCATTGCTGCAACCATCCTCCTGGGTGATTTCTCTTCTAACCTTACAAGGATTCTTCTTCCAACCTTAAATCTCACAAGGAGTTTGAGGCCTTTTGCTCCATTAGAGAAGGAGGGTCCAGCTATGTGCCCCTCTGATGTCTACAGACCCCTTTCCAATATCCATGACATATTCCTGGCCAGATGATTCCCATTTGTCCCTGGGTCAACGTCTTCAGGTCTGAGAGGTCTCACCCCTCCCTGGTCTTCCCCAACACGTCTCACCTCTCAGAGCGGCACTGAGCAACACTGAGCACTGGCTGCCAAAGACACATAGGTGCTGCAGGAACTGCCCCCCTTGGGGTGAGACTCTGCTCTTGTGAGACCCACCTGGAGTTCTGCGTCCAGCTGTGGAACCCTCAACATCAGAAGGATGTAGACTGGTTGGAGTGAGTCCAGAGGAGGTCACAGAGATGCTCAGAGGGCTGGAGCACCTCTGCTATGGGGACAGGCTGAAAGAATTGGGCTTGTTCAGCCTGGAGAAGAGAAGAGAAGGGTCCAGGGAGACCTTATAGCACCTTCCAGTACTTGGGGAGGTCACTACAAGGAAGCTGGGTGGGGACTTTTTACAAGGGCCTGTAGTGACAGGACAAGGGGTAGCGGGTTTAAATTGAAAGTGGGAGATGAAGATGGGCCATCAGGAAGGAATTCTTCCCACAGAGGGTGGGGAGCACTGGGACAAGTTGCCCAGAGAAACTGTGGATATCCCATCCCTGGGAGTGTCCAAGGCCAGGCTGGATGAGGCTTGGAGCAACCTGGTCTAGTGCAAGGTGTCCCTGCCCATGGCAGAGGGGTTGGAACTAGATGATCTTTAAGGTCCCTTCCAACCCAAACCATTTTATGATTCCATGATTCTACGATCAGTCATGCATGGGATCTCTGAAGACCCTTGGACCATGGAACAGAGCATTTCTTTTCCACCAGCTTTGGCATCCCCTCTTGCTCTGCGCTAGCTGTGCCATTCCTACTCCTGAATCCTCTTCCCAATTTCTTTTTTCCCCAGGGCTTATTTTGGGAGGCTTCTGATACAAGTCAAACTGCACTCATTGCCTCGTCAGTGAATGAAATGATGTACCAAGCAGACACCCTCATTTTTACCTTTCTGATGAGATACGTGGTGTGTTTTTGGTTCCTAATTATTTATCTATCTATCTATCTATCTATCTATCTATCTATCTATCTATCTATCTATCTATCTATCTATCTATCTATCTATTTTTACATTAGTATATTAGTATTTAATTGCTGGGTTGCATAAAGAGCCTGTGATGAAAACTTAGTTCCTTCTCAATGAGGAAGTTGTCTGGGGGATGCTGCAAACACCTGCTTTGGCCACAAGAAGGAACAGGAGCAATTCAAAGGGATGAAGTGGAAAACACGGATGCAGGGGGGTTATGAACCATAATTTTTTATTGCCTCCACGTCTGCAGTGAAATAAGGAGGTGAATCACACTTAATATTTCACAGAGACAGTGGGTTACACCTTCAAAACACGTTACAAGCAAAATGAGAGGAAGAGTGGAGATCCGTGAGCAACATGGGACATGCCTGACTCTCAAGGCAACGTTGCAAGGGTGGGAAGCTTCTCTCAGTCATCCCTGCTCCTTGCTTCCTCTACTTCATCTTCCGGGCTGGCACTTTGCAGACCTGCTTTTGCTGCTGTCTTGGGATGCACTTTGTCACAGGCACACAGCATTGCTGCATCGGAGGGGGACAGGTCTTCACCGGAGGGGGACAGGTCTGCACTGGACGGGGACAAGTCTGCACCGGAGGGGGGCAAGTCTGCACCGGCAGGGGAC